GTACGTAGAATCTTTACAAAATCTGCCCGAAGTAGTTTTCCTCGGCATCCAACAAAATCCGTCGACGAGATATTCAGATATTCCGGTTTAAACGGGAATGGGCCAACCGAACATTGAAAATCACTCAGTGTTTTCGGCCCGGGGTGGCAGCTCCCTGGATAACCCGTAGTATCTGCCAGAATATTCAACGATGGAGGGGCTTGCTTTTCCGATATATCTATCGACAAATAATTCGATATTTCCAATATATTCGATATAAAAGCTTGCTTTCCAGGATTTTGCACTGTATAAATATCCAAATTATCGAATAAATGCAGGTATAAGCTCATATTTGTATCTTATCAGCAATATATCCAATATAACTGAATATATTCGGGTCTGAATCCTAGCATATCCGTGCTGGCACCCTATTATTGGAAGTATTTGGTATCTATCCGGTTGAATAAATTGAATAAACATTACCCCCCCTTGATAAACTCTGAATAAAAGTGGTGATATGTGCACAGCTCGAGGAGACGAGTGCGATGGTGCTGACAAAACTGGAATATTCGTTCGGATTCTTGACGATAAATGCATTTATCGAAATTTATTGCATTTATTTTTATCCACGGAGCTGCCACCCCGGGGTTTTTGGGCCACTCAAGGTCCCCGAATATCCTCCAAACGATGGAAATTAACGTACTGGATTTTCCCGATACTTTTGGGGTTTTCCACGTCGTACAACAGTTTCTGTAGGGCCCGGTTTTTGCCGAGTTTAGCAGTGCATTGCAATATGATGCATGGGGTCTTGCCCCGGTCAACACTGACATCAAAAAGGAATTCTGACTTTGAAACCGGGGCGCCCTCCCACCCACCCAGTCACAAGGATTTTATAAGATGTGACAAGGAAGTTGAAGGAACCCTTGTACTAAGTTTTAGACTTTTATTTCACGTTAAAGTGGGCGTAGGCGTCACGCCGCCGGCATCGCCGAAGCGCGACGGCGGCACAATCTGGGCAAGCTATCATCGTCCGATACATTCAACTCGTACTTTATTGCCGTCCGATCTCAAATGCACTCGCGAGTGCAGACGCCCACTTTAAAGTGGGCGTTCTGTTCCGCGGAACGCCGGACGCTAAAGCAACTTCGGCAGCCGTCGGCTACAATCCGTCAGTGTTTGTACCGTAGATTTCATTAAATCGACGGGTCTGCATGCACTTTGTTCTTGAGCCGAGACTCGGTCCTCGTTGAAACTCATGACTGCGGCGTACGGTAAACCGGAAATTTGCCTAACTATGATTAGGCCGGAGCCACGGGCGACGGGCTATTTCAATATCGCTGTGGCTTGTTGAGACCTGCGCCGCAAGGCGCCGGAGTCGCCGGGTTCTACAGTGCTCTCAATCTGCAGGTCACAGAAGTGACTTCCACACTGCGGAGGCTCACCTTCTATTTACGATTGTTTGCTCCGGGTAGTGGAGACCACAGTGATTCTGCATGCGCCGCTCTGTGGAACACCCAAAAAGAACGAAAAAGAATGCACTTCTGCGAGATTTGAACCCGTGAATTTTTGGCATGTGACTCTGCGCTCTGCCACTACGCTACGACCAAATCCCCCGGGGACAATGTTGTCCGCGGAAATTCGAGCCGAAGGGGTTTTTGTAGGGGCACGCATTGATGTGTCACATATTGTACCGGGGCCCGCACGGGGATCGATATTGCCCTCCTACCCGCCCATGAATGTGGGTCGGGCCGCCCTCCCAACCCCCCTCATTGAAGCAATTCTCTCAAATAATATATGCTTTCTATATTGAGGCGAGCAGCTATAAATCCGCCGCAGGGCGCGCGGCGGATTGTATCTTCCTAGTTTTCCGGGGGGGTCGGATGAGCAGCGGCGCCGCAGTTCCGAGTCCTCCGCCGTTCGAGACGGTACCGTACATTCCCTCCGGAACGGGCGCAAGCATTCGTACCGGTATACCGGTTGTGTCTCGTACGGTAGCGGAAAACCCGCACTCGAATGAACTTGCAAGCGCGGAATACTTCCACCAGGCAAGATACACGTATGTACAAACGCAAGTGTATTAGAATGTACGAAAATGTTAGAACCCATATTCAGATAAAGATACACATATAGGCAGACACCTACTGGAGACACCAGCTATCCAAGGCAGCGTCTCCGCCCAGGCGTATTGATTGAAACGTTTTAAAAAGTTGTAAAAACAGCCCACTGCCACTGCCACTGGGGCATCGTGCCAAAACACCTTTGTAGCGGTGCATTGAAGTCCGGGCTTTCGAAGTTTTGAGGGGGGCATGGAAGCCGGTTTTGAGTAGACCCCGAATTTGTCCGAGAGGGTATGGAAGCCGGCTTTGCTTTTTCTTCTCCAAATTCACTTTCTGGGGCGGGGTTATGAAAGCTGGTTCATAAACTGTTGAAGGGGTTATGAAACTTACTTCGCAAGCTAGCGCGCGCTATTTCAAGACGAGCGACTCGTTTCGGGGGTTCAAACGGTTTTTAGCTCGCCCGTATTTACACCCCGATTCAGAAGTTTTATAACGTGGACTTATTAACCCTACAGGCGATTGGGGCCATTCTCAATTGGTTTCAGAAATTTTGGAAATTTAGGCAATTCCTATTATGAGATGTTTGAGGTGCAAGCACCTTGAAAGTTGATTTGAGGTGGCCAATACAAAAATGGCAATAAAATACTAGGACGTGCGCCAAATGGCCTTATTTTTGCCACGAATTGTGGTGACCCTTGTGCGGGAAGGCTCCGATCTTGACACCTCGAATGGATTCTTCTCGGTCTCATTGGTGCTTTATGAACACAATGGCTTGCTGTGTTTCCCCAGTGGCTTTCGCCGAAAAAACCGTACTCGAAAGCCGGTGGCAGGCGTACAAAGTCACATGTCCGCCGCGCGAGTTCCGTCGAGGATGGAACGCTCTGAATTTTAAATTCCATGAGTCTCGTGTCAACCCCAATTCATTGGTAACGAACCGTTCTGTGAAGCACGCGAGTTTTGCCCATCAAAAAGTGATACATGCAAAAAAGCAAAAAATATGGAGTCAGGCTCGAACCCGCGACCTCGCGCTAGGCGCTCGGACGCTCAGCCCGGCCACGGACTACGGCGTCAAGAGGCCATGATCTCGCGCAAATGCTGGCGCATTGGTGGCCTAATCGCCTGATTTATTGTATAGAGGGTTGTGTTCAATTTGGTTAGGTCAAAGGAAACAACCTACTAAAGTGTTAACTGTAACCGGGTTAGATTGCGACGTCATCCGGATTAGGTTACGAAACTTCTGAATCGGGGTGTATACGGGGCGAGCTTTAGCGGACATCCGGATCTGGGGTCCTTCTGGCAAACTAATCTACGAGGTGATATTGAACTTTGCCTACAGGTCGCCGGGCACCAAGTTTGCCGGAAGCGTGGAGCGAAGCACCGAGGCTAGCTACCAGGGAGCTGGAGTATCTCTTGAAAGGAGTGTTGTAACCGGTTAGCTTTCAAAATATCTCCCGGGATCATCGACCGTGTCAACAGTGATCAGACCGACTGGTAACCCGGATAGGTCTAAGGTAACCCCACAAAGTCCAGAGAATTCCAAGTACATTCCAATTCTACCATTGCCTTGTTACCCTGGGTACTAAAATGCGGCGACAGATGCGTGGAGGATATACCGACACAGTCGCTCTACCAAGAGTTCCCGAGGAGTCATTTCCGACGGCGTCTGAAAATGGCCGTAGATTCCGTTTGACAGAATTGACGTGACGTACGATCCGTCACTACATTCTGTCGCTAAAATGCAAAATAGCCCGCACGCGCGGCATCCAATCCGGCGTTTCGACGATAAACGCGCATTTATGTAGAATATGGACCGATTCTATCCGATTGGACCGATTCTATATCTATGCTATGGACACTGTAGCACGTGGCCGATTAATATTGCATATTATGTCGCCACGACACCTATACGGTTGACGTGGCAATTCTGCACCGTTGATTGCGTACCATGTCACCATTGCTTAACGGCTACTTGCTGCAGTTGACCGTTGCGACTGCTAATCTATCTTGTGAGCACTTGCTTGTTATGTATCTTGCACCTTGTGACTGGATCTACGGCTCACCTATAAAGGTGGACTTCTCCACCGTGTAAGTCCTCATTCCTGGTTTCCAAGTTTGAGGCATCCAATCTCTAGCAAGTTTCTCAACTCTCGAGCTCCGCTCTTCCCGCTAAGCTCCCTACTAGTGTATAAGTCTCCAATTTCCTTGTGAAATTAGCCTGAGATTGCTGAGAAGTTCAGTAAAGAGTTTGCTGTACAACGTCCGGGGTCCCCGCATAAAGACCATTGGATTTGGCCGTAATGCTGTAGTTTAAAATTCAATCAAGTTTTGTGCCAAACAAATAATGCTGTGTAATCGATAGATACGTACAGTAAACTTTGCACAAAATGCCCGAATGGTTGAGACCACTTGTTACTCGGCGTACAGCAGAATTCGGCCGTTTGTGTAATGGCGAGGGGCAAACCCAACATGGAAATCTCCTCAAGGCTTGACCATCACTTCAGTTGCCCGTACATAAGCTTAACGTCCTAGATAACCCACTTTTTCCGACTTTTTGGCGTTGTACGGTAGGTTTAATTCGCTCGATAAACAAAAGATGGCCCAGGGGGGACTCGGCCGGGTCGTTCGGAACGAAATATATGAGTCAAGGTCCTCAGACCGGGCCGCCCTCCCGCCCCCCCTAAGAGGAGAGACAATTTATCAGGACTACGGTTACATTTTGGATTTAATTTCGATTCTTGTATCGGGCAGTGCACGGAATTTTTTCCCGCCCTCCCACCCACCCATTATGATGTGACCGGGCCGCCCTCCCACCCACCCTCAGCCTTGCCATTTGAAGAATATTGTGCTTTCTTCATTGAGGCGAGCTGCAAAATCCGCCGGAGGCGGATTGCTTCGTCCTAGTTTTCCGGCGACAGACCCCAAAGAAGGATTTCGTGTCCCCGTACTTGAAAAGTCTTGAATATTCTCAGATCTAGGAGGTTCCTTGAAGGTTTTAAGCCACGTATACCGTATGTCTAGTATCTGAATGCACCTGGTTCTAATCTCGGTATTACAAAAAATCCTAGAGCGTTTTTCAAGCCACTTCGAAGGTGAGAGGGGAGGAAAAGATGGGAGCAAATATTGTACTACCTACTAGGGGTCAAAACTTCGACTAGAGACCGGAGGTTGCCAGGGTTTAGATGCTCATCCCCTGGAAGCTAGCCGGTTTTTAAACCGGAGTTCAGTGCACCACTGCACATGTGTTTCGAGTCTTGACACGATGCAGGCACGATGCCCAGGAAAGAAAATCTTGCTAGGATCATGGATGTATTACTTCTGCGTCTTTGACCAAAACACGTTCTAAAACCAGAGTTGCCACCCCGTGCTTCACATGCCGAACCGCATGCAAGCTAGAAAAGGAGTCCCGGGGCCGAAGGAGGCTTTCAATGAAATCTGTGCGTGAAACATGACCTTACCATGTAGCGAGCGTTGCCGAGTAAACTATGTGCCTCAGGTCTGTGCAGAGGTCGAAGTACCAACTATTTTACCAGGTCAGCTAGAAGCCCATCCGTTTTAGCAAAGCTGGGGGTTATGATGAGACCGCGGCATTGCCCCACGTTGGACTCATCCCTTTGCACCCATGAGCCTGCTAGTAATTGAGCTCAAGGGTGCCAGGCTCCGTTTTCTGATCTGCCTTTACTGCCTTATGACTGTCCTATTGAGTTTCACCGCACTTCAGGTGATAGTACCCACTTTCCAGGATTGCAATGCAAAAAGGCAGATTGGCATCCGCGCAACGGATTCTAGTGGCCCGCGCTGCGCGAATGAGCTGTCAGACGCACTGGCGAAAGTTGCAGACCAGGTGGACAAGCTTGAAGGGGTGGTCCTTCAGTTTGAAAGTGAGACACAGGTACGGGAGCCCCAACGGCCCTTGATTGAGGAAGCAATATGTGTCTGCGCACCACTGGCTAGGCTGCCACAAACATTACATCGAGCAGCGTTTTCTTGTGCCGTCATGTTCCTGCAGGCCCGTTCTTGTCCCTAGCCTAGTGGTGTTTTGGAATTGCTAAGTCCCTGTTGCAGACCTCCATATTCAAAATGCAGGCATGGGCTACAGCTAGATCAAAAGATTCGCCCCTCATCTGACGCAGCTTGTGACTAACGTGATTCACTTTGAACAGCACAGTACTTTACATAAAGAAGTGAATGGTAAGACGTAAATTTGAAGCATTGAAGGTGTGCGCCGATTCTTCCTGAAACTGAGGATTGACGTCCTACAAGGGCAGATGCCCCCTAGTGTTGCAGACCTGATGTGGTTCTAGCGGCCACGTCAGTGAAATCCTTGGTTGCATGGTTGAAGATACTCAGAAGGAGCAAATTTGACAAGACAAAGTAAACAACCTTTTTAGGGGCGCCAAGGAGGTCTGTGCAGATTGAGGGTTCTCTCACGTTGTTCAGTTTCACACTTGAGGAGTTCCTACCGATCCCCACCCCTGATGCAGGCAGCAACTAAAAAGATTGGCCGGCGGAGCAACTTCGAGCAAGTCATCAATGGAGTGGCCCACGACGTGAAGGTGTTGAGAGCAGAGCGGCCAGTGAGCTTGTTCCTGGGGGGTCGCGTTGTCATGTGTTGGGTTGACTTCTTCCAGCAATACTTTTACCTTGACTCCCGGGACCGGGGCTTGACACCGCACCTGTGTGGGGGCACTGTGTGGGAGCATGAAATCACAAGGACTGTCAAGAGAATTGTGCGCTCAGGCCAGCGAGTGGTGGACATAGGAGCTTGCATGGGGTGGTGTACCGCCGTCTTTGCGGGTGCGGTAGGGGAGACCGGGAAGGTGCTTGCGGTAGAAGCAAACCCTCGGCTCAGCGACATGCTCGCTCGCACAATGCAGGTAATCACCACGCTTGTTGATGAGTTGCCCAACGCCACCGGTCCATACGAATTGTCACCAATGGAGGCCTGCACAGAATGCATGAAACTGCCTTGTTCAAAGCAAAGTTCCTGGGTGTTTCTAGAAGCTGGACAACATTTCTCTTTACTTTCCCCCCAATTGGTTGCTATGTTCAGTTCAGTATACGGAAAGTTCGTTCTGATTGAGGCTGAAGCTCGCCTGGCCAGAACAGAAAAACCGCGACTCAATGCAAGTTCGTCAAAGATAGATCGCCCTACCTAATGTTAAGCAACTGAATCGTACCTTCCTCAGGAGTTGAAAAAATTAACCAGGCGCAATATTGTCTTGTCAATCAAGCCATTGATTTCGCATTGAAACCAACACGCAGCATTGCTAGGAATTAAAGTTCCTGATTGATCCATCTGCCTCAAAATTCATATTATTGTGTTTATTCTAAGAAGAACCAAATGGAGGTCTTATCAAATGACGCCAGGCAGGAGCACGGATACCAGTCCGAATATGTTCGAAATCAGGACCATACTCAATCAGTGGTGGTCCATACAAGATGCTGGATCCCTCGACTCTTGATGCAGGAGCATCCACATGTTCGGGTAGTGAACAAGGCGGTTGGGAGCCAGGACGACACACAGGTCTTTGTGGAGAACAAGATGACGTATTGCCCTGGGAACAGGGTTGTGAGGGAAGCAAATGCAAGCCTTGAGCCGGTGGAGTACGTGAAATTGGATACACTGCTTTTAAATGAAGGGTGGGACCGTGTGGATGTGATCAAAATCGATGTGGATGGCCATGAGTGGCGGGTATGGGAGGGGATGCAGGAGACGCTGTTGGAGAACCCTGATCTTGAGCTACTCCTTGAGGTGAGCCCTTGCAATGACGAGATTCATCGAAATGGTGGGGAGTTGGCCGGCAGACGTGTGTTTTTTTTCAGAGTGATTGACTCGTGTTCTCTTTATTATTCATTATTCTGAAACTTGCTCTCAGCACTTTCCAGTTACGAGACCAACAAGCAGTTGCTAGCTTTACGTTAGAAAAAGAAGCCTGCAATCATTATTCCATCTTCATTTGTCTGACCTACCGGTACAAAAGTGTTTAGCCACAACCTGAATGTACAGCTTGCAGCACAAACCCCACTGGCCCGAGTCGGACAATTGTGTCATACTCCTGAACAACTTTCTTATTGTCCTTGTAGATCAATTTTCAACGAGATAGGGTGAATAGGATCGATTCAAAGCTGTATTATGAAGCCTTGAGGAGCAAATTTGAAAACATGTTCATCATAAGGAGAGAGGATGGTTTGTTGATGCAAACGAGTCCATCAGAGCTGCTTGAATCGTTTGGTAACGTCAATCTATATTTAAAAAATAAGTAGTCATTTTCGATCGCACCACAACAACAAAGCTATAGCCCGATCACGTCGCCATCGTTTTGCGGATACCAACCGCTTACATACAAAGGAGACACATGACCGGTTGCAAAAGCTTACCAACCGGATGACTTGAACAGGGCAAAGTTGTTGTAGCAATAAAGTTGTAGGCCGCGACATCCCTCGAGTGTCTCATAATGTACGTAAAGGAATCAGGCTCCGATTGCGTCGGAAGGGCGTCAAAAGATCAAACCTTCGCTTGTCTTTGGACCAGTTGATCCATAAGGCAAACAAGAATAGTGACAGGATTCTAAAGCCTGATTTACTATGGTGTGATCACATTGTGACAAAAGGTCGACCGCCCCTCAGAGCTCGCCCAATACCGGATGCGACGGGCTAGGCCGTATAGGCTCGGGGAACGTGACGGATGGATTCATGGATCTAGTAGGGGGACGCTAAATCGAAACTTAGGGAACTCTGCCAAGTGAATCTGGATCGAACGCAACACGGTACGCACTATGTAGCAAAATTACAACACATATTCAAAGCTCTCCGATCTCATGAATTCCGGCAAATCAAGCTGGCTATTTGCGGTACAAACAAAGGCAGAACATGCCTTTGAGTGCTTATGTAAGATGAGAAAAAGAGTCTTGAAACCATCAAACTTCTACGGTATGGCAGGCTTGCACCATGGGTCTTGATGCTATGAACGAGAGAACATCGGAGGGGTGTCATAATCAAGCACCTTGGCGTATCCTAATGCGGCTACTTCCAGCGATTAGATATAGCCGAATAAGCTGATTAGTGCTCATGAGTGTTCAGATCTCTTTTAAATGTCATACAGTTTGAAGGACCTCAGAAAGTGAAGCGAGCGCGCGTTTGAAGCTTGCTCATTTGCTCTCAGTCGTGGATGTATAGCCGACTCCTCTCTCAAGCCGTTAGAAACGTCTCGCAGTTAGAAAAGACACCTTAAAACAATGTAAAACATGGATGCGACTGAGTCGTGGTTGTATAGCCGGATTCATAGGCCTGTTCCGTTTTGCTTTCCGTTCTAGTTCGGTATTCGGTGTACAGCGTGGCAGCTTGTCCGAGGAGATTCAAGACCGGACGAGTCGAGCGGCTGCAGTGTTCGAAGGAAGAGGAGGCGCGTGGCGCGTCAGAGACTAGGTGGACCTGTCAAAGCGTCCATTGTCCAAGGCCGCGCACGCGAAGGAGGAGTCGGAAGCCACGCGTAGCGGGGCCCGTGTAGATAAGGGCGAAGATTTGGGTAGTGATTTCGGGTAAAAATGGGGAAATCAGTTCATGTAGCTTAGAGGCGAGCGTTTCGTCTGGTGGTGCATGTAAATCGGTGGTGCATGTAAATCAGGTCTAGGCCGAAACACATATTTTCCAGTCGAACCAAAAAAGGAGTAGGATCGAAACCAAGCGCATCATAAAGACTTGTAGTTAGATTCGATGTGCAAATAGATCCTAAGAGAAGACTTGAGAAGTGTGCAGTAAGCGCTTCATGAGAATTTGACTCGTAGGCCTAGCAGAGAAGTTAGGAACAACACATTTCGGGGGAGAAGAAAGGAGGGAAGAAGCATATTTTTGGAGCGCCTCAACCAAGTGTTTTTTCGTCATGTCGCAATCGACTTTTCGTTTGTGGCAAGTGCATCATTTTGCAACGGGCTGCTTGGAGCTTGGCGCGCGCGCGTACCATGTGGATCGCACTCATACAAGTCGAGTTTGGGGAAGCATGGTACCCCTTGCAAAGCCGCAAATCAGCATAAGGGCGTGTGAAGTACAATACGCTCTTAGGTTCGTGACTCGTGCACCAATCTTAGCCTCGCTTGTAGCTAGGACTCGGACGAGCCTCTATACCAACGACCCTATATATGCCCTGACACGCGTATAAGCAGCATGTGTCTTAGCCCATTCTGCCAGTGAGCACGCCGCACGATGCCCATATTATCTAATAGGGGCGATGGGTTCATGCACTACAAATGACAAAATGGGTACAACATGTCTTCTTAAACTGCGGCACTCCGGCGCGCGAGCGCGCGGCGTACACGGTTGTTGCAAGAGCGTTGAACCTCCAGCCATGATATCTCAACCGGGAAAAAATGCATTCCATGCCAAAAATGCTAGAAGAGCCCCACCCCCCAAAACTTACCGAGCAGGTACGTTTGAGGACCACCGTACCTAAAACTTAGTGCTCCCGTACTGGGTTTGTGACTTCTGGTACCAATAAAAAGCTGGCATGTCTACCTACTGTTTCCATGCAAATTTCTCTCTACCGTACTACAAGTATCACAATCCTCCCAGCAACAACATCCTTTTCTGCCACCTCCAAGAGGACGTTCAATATGTAAGAGGACGTTGCCGCCTCAATCACGAATCAATTTCAATCAAATTCCTTTCGATCTTCCGACTCAAATTTCAAAGGCGAATCCCTCATCAATCCCCGGCACTTGATCGAGGAAGCGGAGTGAAAATATAACAGTTGCACTGTTTCGGCTACTATCCCGACTCTCCCCCTAACTACCGAAATCGTTTGCTAGGTTCTATTCGTTGAACCAGCCGAACCTTATGCGATAGGGCGACTTAGCCTTTCGGACTAGTCGGCCCTAGATCGCTTGAAGGTACTCTAATAGGCTTGAGACTTGTCGGCCCTAGATCGCTAGCGGCTCGCGCACATAGTCTAAGTCTATCGGCGGTCGCACTTAAGACTTGTCGGCCCTTGTTCGCGAGCGGCTCGCGCACATAGTCTAAGTCTGTCGCCGGACCGCATACCGGCCGCACCGGTGCCGGCCGGACCGGAATGGACTGCGCCGAACCGCAGCCGGTCGCATCCCAACTCTTCCCGGATTATGCGGGCGAACGAAACTCACCGAGTTTACGTATACAAAAGGTTCCTCGGAATCTTCGAATAGAGGCTTCGCGGCTTAGTAGAGTCTTATTTTACCTTAGAATCCGCCTTGCTCGTAGACCTGCTGTATGTGTACGGATTGACTGAGCACGCAAGTCAACGCGCGCGCGTATGCAGTAAGTGCAGACTGGGTCGGAGTCACGTAGGTCGAGTAGATACGCAGTGATATATTGCATAGTGCACAAAATACGAGGCAATCAGATCGGTATGCAGAAAAAAACAACACAAGGAAAACACACGATGGCACAGGCAATAAAACAACAATGGCTGCCGCGGTGCGCGGCGGTGATAGGCAAGACACTTGGTGATCCCAGGCGGATCCCGTTCTCCTTTGGTGTGAGAAGGAATGAACAATTGTTTGGGATCGCTTGGTATATCTACAAGTCTCTATACTATCTAGCCTCGGTTCCAGCGACCAGAAATCAAGCTGGCAACTGGCTCCCGTTCCAAAATGTCTCAGGCCGCTACTTTAGAACTGGTTTTTTATTCTACGGCCATCTTACTTAAGCACATAACTTATTCTTAATTCCCTTCTACGTAGCTTCCCTGCAGCTTCCTCGTCTCCAGAATCTTCCGCCCACAACTGCCACGATCTGTGAGTTTTATTACAGATC